CGGTGGGTGCTTGGCTTGCTCCGTCGGCTGCCGGGCAGGCCTCTGGGGTCATGCGGCGGCTCCCCCGTGGAGCGGCTGAGACAAGGCAGCCCTCGGGTGCTGGGTAAAACAAAGGAAGGCCCTGGCGTTGGGGCTCAAATAAAACCGCCTCACAGGGTGTAAGAGCCGTGCTGCAAAGGAGTCTGCTGTCAGCGCCTGGATTAAGGTCGCTGCTCAGCTGTATGCAGCACACGCTGTTAGGCTAGAGGGTAACAGGAGCAGGCTTACGTTACGTGCTGGTGCAAGATGCTTTAGAATGCTAGAAAACACACAGCTAGATATTAATATTACATTTTCACGTGTATAAGAATATTATTTTAGTCAGTGATAACAAGAAAAGTTCAACAGATAACAATGTAGTTTCTTACCTCTTTTGAAGCATCTTGTTCTAGCTACCATTGGCCAGGGTGTACTAGTATGTATGAAATATTTGGTGTGGCCGTGCCCAGGTTTCATGAAATTAACTGGCTGAATGTTGCAGAGACAGTTCAGTATGGGGCAACAGCAGCAGGGGGGGAAGTATAAAAAACACCTTAATTGGAAATATGATGAAAAATACCCATTTTTTGGCTTTACCTAAAGTTTATTTCCATTTAGTTTCAAATAGACCAAGTATTTAGAAGATTTTAGGAAAAATATATTGCTAAGGGTCAGCATGTTACCACCTGTGTATAGGAGGTAACTAGGAAGAAGCACATCAGGGCATCTACACAGCTGCTTGCTTGTGAGGATGAATAACACTTCTGCTTTGGTAGCATTAGTTCACTAGTAATCATGCAGTGTGTTTTTTCCATCTTTTATGAGACTCTTGTCCATAATTATGGACACCACATTGTATTGTGGAAGTCATTAGCTACATTTGGACCATAAATTTTTATATTTCTACACTATTAGGTTATTGCCTTACTGGATGTTAAATAAAAAAATATAGTCCTTTTTCTCCCTTAAAATTTTTGTGTGTACTATTTCTATAAATAGCTTATGTATCCTTATGTGAGGATTGTACCTGATCCTGAAGTTTTCAGTCAAGAGGTTACAGTTATCAACCATTCGTAGCCACCTTTGTCCAAGTTTGTATTTAGTTCATCATGAATTATTCAATCATGATTGTTTTCAAAATATGTTTGCTTCATCCTTTCAACTTTTTGTGCTACGGACTGTACAAATATGTGGGTTTTTTTCTCAATTGTAACCAAGAATTTTTTTATGGTTACTTTTTACTCATGGCGTGATATTTCTGTGATAATAAAATGTTTTTCACTTAAGACACTAAAATTAAGACAACAAAATTTATGAAGACTATTAAGTATTAATAATTATTAAACAGTATTTTAGGGACTTGGAGGGCTACAGATGTGTACAAAGAGCACATTCAAAGAATATTCTGGACTTGTAATTCAATAGACTTCATAATAAAATGCCTCATGTGTTTACTCGTTCCTGTACTAAAAATGTGTGCATATTTGAGCGTACTTACTTGTAGGGGCCAAAAGTGCTTTCGGGGGTTGGTTTGTCAGATGTCTTGTTTCTGTTCAAATATAAGGCAGCATGTGTATCTTAATTGTTTTTTTTTTTTAGTTAAAACTTAAACGTCGATGTGGTAAAGTTTTTTCTACATTCTGTCATCTGGGAAACATTGCTTTAAACTAAGATCACTGTGCTTTCAGGATTTTCATTGACTTGTTGGGCCCTTTGCCTTACACTTAGTTAGGAAAGCATGACTTGTTGTTTGTTATGATACACTTGGTTTTATCTGAATGACGTGGCTTCCCTTCATTTTTTCAAAGACATGTAAATTGTGTTTCTTTTTAGTCTGTTATTATTTAATGTTCCTACTGTGCTATTGGGAAGCCTGTCTCGCGTGTAAGTCAAACTTCTTCGTTTTGAAATAGCTAGCTTCCTTCAGTACATACTTTCAACTTCTCTTTAGAAAGTTTTTTCCTTGAAATTTGGCAGATTACAATGAGTGCACCTAATAAAGCACTAGAACTACAGCTGCAAATGAAGCAAAATGCTGAAGAGCTGCAGGATTTTATGAGAGAATTGGAGAGCTGGGAAAAAGATATTAAAGAAGTGGATTCTGAACTACGGAAACAGAGCGGTGTCCCAGAAGAGGTAAAAATCACAAGTCCAGTGTCAATATTAACTCAGCTGTTCATAATGTGATAGTGTTTATAATAATTGCTTTTTGCTTCAGCAAAATTACATGTGTTGACTTAAAATATCTGAATAGAATGTATGAGCTAACCCAGCTGACTTATTCCTCATCTGAAGCAGACCAAAGATTATTCTGTAAACCGTTCCACCAACAGAGCTGTGGGGCAGTAGCATCTGGAGGTGATGGGGCCAGTACATTTTTAATTAGTTCCAGGTAGATCTAGGAGAATATTTCTGTCTGCAGTATCGGTATTACTGATTTATTGCTGACTTTTAATGTATGGAAGTTATTCTTCAGTGAGACTCCACAGAGAGTTGTCTTCTAAAACTTAACTTTGTATCATACATGTAATATTTGCTGTTATTATGTATTGAAAGATTTATACTTGCTGTCCTTAGTGGTTTTGTAGAGTTCCCAAGAACAGCTTGCTGGACGGATTTCAAAAATAAAACTAGCCAGTACATAGATACTATATCTAGATGTAGGTACTATAGATTCTTCAATGCAAGTGACTTTCACACATCTGTTTTATAATAAATTACTTATTTCAATTTAGAATTTGCCACCAATTCGAAACAAGGCTTTTAAGAAAAAGAAGAAAAGCAAAAGTAAAGTCCCTTCAAAGATAACCACTGAGGAAAACAAGAAAAACAAGATCAAGTCTTACGATTATGAAGCATGGGGAAAACTTGATGTGGTGAGTCAGAATATTTGCTTGTTAACTGAGTCTTTCCCCAGTTGATTGCTTTAAATAAGATTTTGTTATAGTGCTGAGAGTTCAGTCCACAAGTCAGAATCTTACTGTGGTGGGTACTGTATGAACATAAAAAGTAGCTTTTGCCCAGAAACGTTATGTGTTTAAAATTTGGAATATTGAGAAATATTTGAGTTTTCTATTGATTGTGCTCTCATCCAGCAGATTGAATTTGACTTTAAGGAAAAACAAAAATGGTTTAACGATAGGTCTATTATTAGGTCATAATTCTAGTAGATCATAAGACTAAATACAGATGGCAGTATTAGGGGATAGATCTCTCACTTTTGAAGTGTGGAATATTCCTTTGTAAAGAGGACTTAAGAAGTAGAGATTTTTAAAAACACACTACTAATTCTCCTAAAGTCTTACTTGTATTATTTTGCATTGTTAAATTATAATGAAGGTAATACTTTATTTTGTCTGATTTCAGGATAAAATACTTGAAGAACTTGATAAAGAAGATAGTACTCATGATTCCGTATCTCCAGAATCAGACTCTGAAGAAGATGGAATTCGTATAGATG